GGCTTGGAATTCAAATTCCAGCATTCTGTCTTCGTGTATGCCGCCGTAGCAGGATGGCTGCCGCTTTAGCGGGATGGATCCCACCGTAGCGGGACAGACGCGACTTAAGTCGAAAATAAAACTCCAAAAATATTTTATTCTGCACTTTTCGACTTTGAGAGCTAAGGAACGACCCCAGGGGTTTTCTTGACAGTTTTCCACCATTCTTGAGGCTAAAGGTAAGGCTTTCCCTCCCCGAATCCGTTTTGATCCGTAGAATGTAAATTCGTAGGTAATTATCGTTGGGGAAGGGTTTTGATCTGAAACTAATGGTGGAAAAAGCCCTAAATTGGGTATTAGGATCTTGGATTTGGTCTAGGGTTATTAGACCTTTGATTGTTGATCCTTGCGTATATTAATTGTTTGTAGACCTAGAACAAGCGGAAAGAATCTGAAAAGGGAATATTCAAGTGCCTAAGGGGATTCAAACTTGAATTCGAGGTAGGTGATGATTGTGATTTCATGTTGATGTGATATATGTTTTTTAATTGCTCATTTTAATGCATGTATGTATGCGAGTGTTTATTGATCACCCTAATCGTAAATGAGGATAATTGAATAATTGTATGTCATGAATCACCTCTTGTTGTATGATTGTGAGAATATACATTATGATTGTGATTGTGGTTTGTTGAATGGATTGGGTGTTAAGTTCTGACACACTAACTTGGATCAGTTGCCATGTTTCGATATAAATATGGGATTGGTTGCCACGTTCCAGCATAATTATAGGATCGGTTGCCACGTTTCAGCATAAACATTGGATCGAGTACCACGAACCTGTACACTAACAGTTTGGGTGTGGGTTCCATGAGAAGACCATTGAATTGTGTTGTTTATCTACTTGTGATGATTTCGTTCATATCTAATAATGATTGATATTGAAAGACGGTATGTTGCTCTAAATTGATATAACTGTGATATGTGAGAATCGTGAAACTGTTCGATGTTCGTAATAGTTGACTAATATTGTATATGTTCGGTATATGCATGTTTTATAATGATTGTGGTTACTTGCACGTGTTTCACTTATTGGGATAGTTGCGTGATCCTACCAGTACAATGTGGTTGTGTACTGATACTGCACTTGTTCTTTCTTTGTTGAGTACAGGGCATCTTCAGGTGGTTATTGATAGACCTTAACTAGGTGACTATTGAGCGTGACCGGATTCAAGGGTGAACCAGTTTTTTCAGGCTGCCATAGATCTTTCTTGTTTAAGTCCACTCTCTTCGGACTCAGACTATTTTCTAAAGGTGTTTGTTTAGTTTCGAGATTGTACCCCTTGTTCTTAGACTTGTCATTCGTAGAGTTTTGGTACATTGACTTTCAGGTTCTAGAGGTCGTTCTCCCGCATTAGTTTGGTTAGTTGTTTGTTTGTTAAAACCTTGGAGTTTATGGGGACTCCATTTCTATTGTCATTTAAACATACTTTCGTATCTTTAAATGCCTTAATTTTCATAAAATTTGTTAGTTTGGGTTGTAGTAATGGTTCTCCCACCGAAGGATTAGTGTGGGTGTCAATCACGATGGTCTGGGTCGTGACACACTCTCTCTCTCTCCAACTCAAACAATTGCAGCCCAAAAACCATTCCACATAAATACGACAATTGTATTTTGTATTATGTACCAAATGTAATTATATTTCATATCAACTGTATTTTGTATATGGATCAATTTTTCGAAAAATATTTTCTACTCACCAATTAAACATGAAAAAACAAGTCAAAAATCTACTTGTTTTCTGGGAAAACATTTTCATGTAAAACATTTTCCTTCACACCAAACACACCCTAAGAAAAAAATATTAACAGGGACATAGAGCTTACCAATCTCCATTTAATAGCTTTAGATAGAGATAAGATAGCTAATCTGAGGCATGTGATGAATGAACAAAGTAATTTGACACTCAAGTGCCAACAAGGAATTAGAGTGATACTCTCTTAATTGGAACGAGAGGCTTTTAGAGACTAATAGATTCGTTAGTTTTGCACAATGAACACACTTTAATGAGTTGATAGTAAATTATTTGTTTTAGTTTTAATATCTAAGAAACATAATCCTAGTTCGTCTTTAATTTTTTTTTTTATAAATTAAGTAGTATAAATAGTTGATAATTTCTCATTTAAATCCCCAACTTTAATAGTAGATATATCGACTTTCTTATTGTGTTTATTTTTTTTAAAACTACTTTGACATCCCTTAACAAAATTTCGAGCTCGGCAGGAGAATAACTTAAATACCATAAACAAGTGGCAAAAAGACGTTGACAGGATCAAACAAGTGGCACTTTAATCTCTTCTCAAACACGCTAAATTTAGTGCAACTGCATCTATTTATATTTACTATTATATAAAGGCCTTAAATAAATTTAAATTAAGAACAAGTAGCATTCCAATCTTACCTTAAAATTTTGTAGTTGCCTCCACATCTATGAGAAGCAGTTACAACTTTATTTACTACTCCTTCCGTTTAAAAAAGAAAGATTTTTTTTTTTTTAGTCTGTTTAAAAAAAAATGATCTCTTTCCTTTTTTGGCAACACTTTAACTTCAATTGCCACGTGATATGTTTAGGATCACAAGATTAAAAGGTATTTTGATACATTTGACATAACTTTAATTAAGAACCACAAAATTAAAAAAAATTCTTTCTTTTCTTTTTAAACGGAGGGAGTACTAAAGAAACAAATATAATCATTGTCCCCTAGCAACTGAGAAAAGAATAAGTCCCTTTTTATATGTAATTGTCAATATCAAGTAGGCCACCTACCTAACGCCACATCTGATTTTTGGTCCAATTGGATTAGACCTATAGTTAGCGCCTAACGGTAGTAAAAAGCCAATGACATACTCATCCCGTCTTTTTTTACTTGTCAAATAAAAAGACAAATATATTCTGTATTATCGTAAATGGTATGCAGATACATTTCGTTATATTTTTGGGACATTAATGTCTTTGCCGTCCAAAAAACTAGAGCATATATACCCTTTGTACTAACGGACATACACGTGTCATAATCTTATCCATCAACCCGTTTATTAAATATTAGATCGACGGATAAGATTGCGCCATGTGTCCCTATTTAGTCTTCCGTTAGAATAAAGGGCATACATGCTCTAGTTTTTGGATGGCAGGAGCATAAATATCCCAAAAGTATGACAGATGTATCTGCATAGCATTTACAATAATTCAAAATATATTTGTGTTTTTTCCCTTAAAAAAAATAATTTCAAATATATTTACTTACTACATATTTGATAAGTAAATAAGGACGGAGAGTATATTGCAAGCTACTTGCCAACTAATTACAATTGTGACAACCATGACCAAGAGGAAATCCACACGCTTTATGTTTTTTTTTCAATTCAATCAATTGATACAGCAATTCACTTTCCAACCAATATCCTCTGAAAGTCAAGGTCCATATCTGAATTACTCCATTATTTTTCATCAAAAGATCTAATTGCGTAGTTGTGCCAGAAGAAAGATAGCTATACTGATTTGGTATACTCTAAAGACGCGGTATTAATTTTGTAAAATTGAGGTGAAAGAAGACGAAGAAGATGGATCATAAAGGGAAAAAAGATAGGTCTAAAGTTGTGGCATATTGTTGCTGCCCTTGTATTGTAGTGTCTTCTACATTCTCTGTTTTAAAGAGGGCACTCTTTGTGGTCTCTTTCCCTGTTTTGCAGTGCTTTGGATGGGATGAACATAGACATCAACATCATCACCACAGACATTTTTGATTCTTCAATTCATAGATTAACTTCTTGTTCTATAAATTCACAGGTTCATTAATTTTTTTATTTTTATTTTACTTGTAGAAGAATAGAAAGGGGAAAAAAAATCAATTACTTGGTTGTTGGGTAGTATTTTACCTTGTATTCTGCTAGTTAATTTAGTTGTGAGCTATTGTTTGTTTACCTTGAAACAAAAAAGAAATATTACACAAGGTAAGTTTCAAAAATATTACTACTGCTATTCTGTTTGATTGTCTCTTCAAAAATTGTATTTTGCCAGCTACAATTTTGTCCTTGGTGATAAGAATTTGTAGTTTTAAAACCATTCCTATCCATTCCACATTTGTCTTGTTTTTGCAATCAATTTTGTCCTTATTAAAATGCTTTGACTAAATTACAAAAATGATGGGAAAGAATCAAAGTAGCTTAGCTGTGTTGGGACCGCGCGTACCACCACCCTAACTCCACATTAGTATGATATTGTCCGCTTTGGGTCAAGCCCTCACGGATTTATTTTTGGACACATCCCAAAAGGCCTCATACTAATGGAGTTGGGTGGGCACTTATATATTGGTACATTTCTTCTTCTCCATCCAATGTGGGATAGGTTTGTTACCCAACAAGTTGGTCCGATGACTAACTGAATTTTCATTTTATTGGTGATGATTCAATTTGATTCTCACCCTTGCAATTTTTCAACAAAATAAAAAGATTATCTATAACACTCGACTATGTTGAGTAACTAAGAAGTAGCGTTCATAATATTATTGAAATACCAGTTTATGGCCTAAAATCACCATCTTATAGACAAAGTAGGAAAAAGGAAAGAAATTCAGTTCCAGCGATTGCTTTTTGTGCTGATGGCAAATAGGACGGATCAAAGGTTAAATAGGATAGGGTGCACAACAATATTTAAATAGGGCAGAACGGATCAAAACCATTTTTTTCAAAATATTAAATGGGACGGGCAGGTGGTAGGGCAAGGTCAAGCTTGGGCTTGTTTAGCTATTTGCTATGCTTGTGAAGTTTAGAAATCTCAATAAGACAAACAATTAAATGGGGCAAGGCAGGGCAGAGGAAGACAACAGAATTGGAGCCGGATGAAGTATTTGACAATGCTGATGAACAACTATCAAGAAAGTAAGGTGACCAAATGGTTTATGTTAGCCTTAGGTAAGGTGACCAAATGGGTAATAATATGCCTCCCTTGATGCTTCCTGCCTTGTGAAAACAGAAATTTCCAAATTCCAACAGTTTAATATTACTACATTCAAACATTTATATTACTTTTTCACATACAGACTATCCTTAAATAGCTACATAAAATAAAATAACAGTAGTCGAACATTCGAAATTAATTAGCACCCAACACAACAAAATTACACATAAGACTGAATTCAGATCCAAAATATTTATCATTGGCATTGCATGAGTTGACATCGTAATCTCTTGACATCAGAGTGTTTGAGAGGCTTCAACATGAACATCTGAGCCCCTTCTTCCATGCATCTGTTCATTTCACATATTGTATTAGTTAAATATATCATAACAGAGTTACATTTTTTATAATTAAAGATACGAGTCATCGATAAACTTACTGATCAATGCGAGTTGGGATATTCTCAGATGACATAATAACAACTGGTACATCCTTCAAAATCGACGATTCCTGCTTGCATTTCAACTAATTAAACAACATTTTAATTTCTTCATAGAATGTTGAACTATTAACTAAAAACTACCTTAATTTTCTTAAGCAATTCATAACCAGTCATTCCTGGCATGCAATAATCTGTTATTATCATATTAACCTTTGAACCCTGTTGAAACAAAAAGATCATAAATATTTACACTAACATCCCTTGAAGAAAGAAAAGCAAATAATTGTTTAATTAAAGAAATAATTACATTGTTATTTGTTGAGTGCTCCTGATCAGCTCCTAATCCCAAGTACTCCAAGGCCCTTAGACCATTTTCTGCAGTAGTCACTAAAGCCAACTCACAAATTTTAGAAACTAAACATCCAATTTTCATCTAATAATCATATTTTGAGGAGATTAGCCCAACTAATCAAGATTTATGTCGATAGAAGATTATACATCACGAAAAAAACAATTCAAAAGATACTACTTGTATTAATTTAGTTAAGTCCGAGGCGGACCCACATGTATATGTAGGGTGCATGTGCACTTGTTAATTTTTCAAAAAAAAATATGTAAAACTAAATATAATTAACAGTGTATCTGGAAAGCATAAAAGGGCACTTGGTACTACTGGTACAATCGAATACGATACTATTGGTTAATTGTCATTGAACGTTTCGCTAACGCCTAAATTAAGATAATATTGATGTAACCTTTAAATCCTGAATTCGCCTTTGAAATAAGATAAAATTATCTTTACTAGGTACAGATGAACCATGGTATTAATTTGTGGCCATATCTAGAGCTAGTTAGGATGCAATTATTTTCCTATATGATACTAATAAAGAATGGTATCCAGAAGGATTTTCCTATTTTTGGAAGGAAAAAAAGAAAAAGAGAATTGACATAAACTGAGTATAAAAGTCTACATCAAAGGATTCGAAAAGATATGAAGGAAGCAGTGTATAAATCCTATTCTTAAAAAGTTTAGCATATCCAAAAGTCATATAAATCGGTATCATTTATTTTACTTTTCCTACACGTTTATTCTTTTCCCCCCATAATTAAACTCTTCGTTTATTTAATTTTTTCTTTAATTACCATTCCTTAATTAAGGAAATAAGAGGGAGGGAGAGTGATGTCATAATGATCCAAAATTTGAATTAGTGAAGCTTGAATTTCATTAAACCTATCATTACTCCTATGTGATAACAACAACAACAACATATTAGTGATCTAATTTTATAAAGGCAGAAAGACTGTTTCAGATAAATTCTTTGTTTAAGTAAAGAATGTCGAAAAACTAGTGTATAAAAGTGAAAAAAATCATGCTAAAAACAGTGTCAACGAGAATCTTATGTAATTACAAACAGTGTCAACTTAACATAAGTTTGTATATTTAATATTTCCTTCGTACTTTTTAGTTATCATATTATATTTTTCGAAAGTCAATTTGATTAATTTTTAAAAGTTAAATCAGATTACATTATTTTTATATTTTAAATTAAAAATTTAGATATTCAAAAACTATACGAAAAGTGCTATAAATTGCATTTTTTTATATATCAATATGATAAAAAAAAATACATCATACAATGTTAGTCAATACTTCTTATCTTTAACTCTAAAAAAGAAATCGTCTCAACTAAAATGGAACGGAGGGAGGGAGTAACTTTGTATCTTTATCTTTTTCTTCTTGGTATGGTGTGTTAATTTGTGGGATGGTTTTTATTGCATGTATAATTTCATGCTTGAGAAACATTCAAGATTTTACATATGATGGAAATTAAGATAAGAGAGATTGAAACATATATTATACATTGTGAGTTGTTTGTGACATGCGTTGTCAAAAATTAACAAGAGAAAATGTGAAGAAATAAAAGTATATAATACCTTTGCAAGATGATTTCTTGAGTAATTTTTCGACAAGTTTTCGATCAATAAGGTTGTCATCAACAGCTAGAACATGAGGTTCTTCATGAGAAGAAATTGTTGAAGATGAAGAAGAATAAAAATCCATTATAAGACACAAATAAGGATAAGAGGTGCAATATTAAGAAGAAAGAAGAAGAAGAAAGAATCAAAGTGTAGAGAAAAAAAGCAATATAGTTTGTGGGGGTATTTAAAGGAAAAGAAAGATTCTTGTAATTTCTTGGGAAGATGATGAAAAGATTTTGAACTAGTGGGGGGTTGTGTTTAATTAAGGCAAGGAATCACCAAATTAAAATTAAAATCAAAAGGTTGTGTCACACATGATATTTGGCCATATCAAATTTTGCTTCCACTATTTCTTAATCACTTATAAAATGAATAAAACAAAATAGTCTTTTCAGATTTATAAAAATAAAAATTTTGTTTATAAAAAGGCCATAAAACAAAAATAAAATAAAATTATAAGTGATCTAAAAAACTAATTCTCCCAAATCCTCTCCTTTTCATTCATATGTGTCGTGCATCAATAACAATATTAATATCTCCTACTGTTTTCTCAGATCCTCATTCTCTTTTCTTTTTAGTTATTAAAAAAAAGATTATGTGCTTATATAAAAAAAAAAAAAGAGGATAGATACTTGTTTCTTTTGTTTCATATTAGTTGATCATTTTTCATTTTATCGTGCTTAAGAAATCATAAATAAGAAGATAAATCCTGAAAATTTTAAAACAAATGTGAACATTTTCAAAAAGAACTATAACCTGCAAGGTTAATATAGAAAAAAGTTAATCAATGCTTTATTGATTTAGCTAGTAAGGTGAACAACTTATATGAGACAACTATTTTGTGTATGATAATTAACTAATATGAAACCGAGGAAATATTTAATATTGGAATGTTATGTTAAAAATGGCAAGTAGGTGTGTGAAATTTTCTTGTATTTGATATGGTGAGAAGAGGATCTAAAAAGTATGTGCAGGCAAAGTATAGAGGATTTTGAAAGCAGTATCTTGCTAAATCTTAATAATGGGGACCAAATCTAGCTGCTTCCCATTCTTACAATATTCTACAACAAAAAAATGTTATATACCAACTCCAAAAATGTGTGTTTGGTATGAATCAAAGTATTTCTCAATTTTTTTTTTACCATAAACTACTTAATTCAAATGTAGCCATAAAACGACTTGTTTAATTTATGGAAATTTTATTTTGTAGTTCAAATATGCATTTAATTAGTGCGTCTTTCACCGCACTAATTAATATGGCCTTATATATGTTCTTAGCTTCCACTTGTTTTGCTCATTCAACTTTTGAATCTATATTTATTAAGGAAAGTATACACAGTGAGGTGACTACTATATAATTATTATTAGTTTTACGTATCAAACTCTATAGAATTTGTCTACTACCTCAGATACTTCCATATTATCTCCCTTGCAAGTTTTCTCTTTTTTTTTTCTTTCTGCATACTATCAATAAAAATATTTAGTAGCTTTAGATTATGTTCAACGTTATTGTTGAGAGATCAAAAACACTTACGTTGAGGAAAAAAAATTGTCTGGAGAATTAAGGTGTTTGGATAATCATTAAAACTATTTTTAAATGGAAGTAGGAGCAGTATTTTTTGTGGTAGGAAGAAGCTAAAGATTTATTTTTTCAAGACTAATATATTCCGGCAATATGTACATATTTATTAATATATCTCTTTTATTTATTTATTTATGTGGTGAATTTATCGTACTGATTTAATTTGTGGAATGATTTTTAATTTTATTTTGCTTTATATTTTTAATTATACTTAAATCACCATGTTAATATATATTATATATCAATTTTTTTTTATCTATGTATAATATTAATTGTAAATTTGAATATATACATTTTCATTTAATAAAGATAAAGATTTAATTGAAATTTTTATTATAGATATTTAAAATAATTTTAATATTAAAAATGCATTGTTATTTGTCCTTTTTCGTAATTTGACTCTCAGAAACACTTTTTAAAAAGATTTGTCAACCAAAATCTGTTTATCAAAAGTATGTTTCAAATGAATTCGCCAAACACAAATTATTTTATTTTCTAAAAGCATTTTCCTGAAAAATTATTTTTAAAATGTGTTTCTAAAAATAAGTAATTTTTAGCTGTAACGCCAAACATGCTCTTAAACATAAACTATCTAAATATTCTTCTATCATTTTTGAAATTTTCACTTAATTAATACTCCACTCATTCTAGCACTAAGAGTGAATTTGAAAATAAATAGAGTAAATAAATATTTATTTGTATTGGAATGAAGAGAATAGAATGTGTATGAAACTGAAAAACAGCAGTTTATTTTCCCAAAAAAAGGGAGGGAGGGAGTCACACTAGTTGTGAATCATAGGTGAATGAGAATTTTAAGTAACAAATTATATAACAACATTAAATTAAGTTGAAAATTGCGATTTTAAAATATACGATAAGTTTTTAATTTTCAATTTTTAACTTTTTAAATTTGAATTCAAAGATAACTATAATTACACATAATATGCTTTTATTGGATAAAATTCAAATAAACAGCCTCTCCTTTATATCTATATGTTTTATGATATATTCAAATTAAAATTTAATATATCCTCTACATACACTGATTAAATCTAATATAGCGATTGTACTAATTAAGATTATTTTTACCTTTATATCAATTTTCTATTATATTTTACACAAACTAATACAATAAATAATATTTTGAATCTTTTAATTTTGAATAAAACATATATAAAATGTTTCAACATGTTATTTAATCTTATGATATCAAATAGTTCATATGGAAGGTTAGAATTGATAAATTATTAACATAATTTATTTTTATTCAAACAACATAAAAAGAATAAACTCTCTCTCTCTCTCTCTCTCTCTATATATATATATATATATATATATATATATATATATAATAAATTAGATTGTGTACTAATAATATTAATTTAATATTGCTCAAATACACAAGGTAATGATTTGTATTATTATTATAATAAATTAAATATATTATTAAGTGCATTGTACATTTTATTAGTTATTTTTAATTATAAAATATTACATTTTAAATTATCCGCGCAACGCGCGGGCACGTATACTAGTTGTTTTAATGCATGTAGTTAGATAAATGAACTACTTAAAGGTTTCACATGCTATAATTAGACTAAGAATATAGTATTAAATGATAATATTATCACAATAAGGAACAAAAATAAAACGTATATAGATGCCAAACTTTATATAAAGTTGCTTTATATAACTTTATATACTTCCATTTCCCTATATATGACATGGTACACCATAATATATTTCTTGATACTCAGCAATATATAAAATATATAATACATAGAACTTGATAATATCTTCATGAATTCCAAGATATCTGCAAGTATCCCTCTTATTTTGTTGAATTATTTGGTTTATCTTTGGACTTTGTGATATATATTTCCTTGCTAATAAAAGCAACAAATTTATACTACTTCCTCTATTTTAATTAATTGAAATTTTTGGGATTTTTTCATTGTTCAAAATAATTGAATTATTCAAAGTTCAAGATGAATGTTTGAATTTTTTTTTCTTCACATTTGTCCTTTCCTTTAATGAAGTTTGATATTTTATAGGAGATAAATTACACTCCTTGCAAAGTTACATTTATGATTTTACAAAGGATAATAGTGAAAAATATGATTTTGTATTGTTGTCTCACAAATTCAATTAATATGAAATTGAGAGAATAGTATATTTGATGATTCATCATTTGTATCTTTGCTTACATTATGTATAAAAAAAAGTTACCGTATCTATTTTATATCATTATTTTATTTGGTATGGTTTGAATCTGTCTTTCATTAATATTTGATATTGTTATAATTTTTGTTCAATTTTTTAATCAGTTTATTTTTAATAAAATCAAATCAAATTAAATATCATCAATTTTTAAAAGTTTAAATCTAAATCCAATCAAAATCAAATAACTATTAATTTTTTATTTGGATCGATTTTAATCAAAATAGATATTTGATTTGGATCGTAGCAAAAAGAAATTATTTTGCATCATCCTTGCCAAAAAAAAAGAAAAAAGGAAAAAAAAAAGATGATCCAAATTCCGAAGCAATAAAAATCTGTTTCAAGTTCATAATATTTGAATTTGACGAAAATAAATCTTTGCTATTTTCCTATAGATTTTCTCGTACCAAATTGCACAAACTTCCAATTAATATACGGACTAACGTGCCTACAACATCAAGTCCATTCTAAAGGATAAGAAAGAATAGGTGCCTATTTGCCTAATCACAAAATTCCAACTTGGTAGGGTAAATGTACTTGTGTATAATATATGATTTAGTTGATTTGATACGAAATTTAAAAATAACTTTTTTAATTTTTTTTTGTGTAAAATAAATAATAGATATTTATGTTACTATAAATCAGTTCATTAAGAATAAAATTAGTATTTTAAAATTAAACTATAATAAATATATAAATGAGATGTTCTTTTTCGAGCTGATTAAAAAGAAAAGTAAGTTGTATAAATTGAAATAAAAAATAATGAATATGTGGTTTATTATCTAAAAATTATAATTTAAAAAAGACGTAAAGTAGATATAATTTAAGTATGAAACTAATAAAAATGTAATGTTTAGGTGGGGTTGATCCATTCTCTCTGAAAATTAGCATAATGAGTACTCCCTCTGTTTAAAAAAGAATGATCCAATTTTCTTTTTAGTCCGTTTAAAAAAGAATGAACCATTTCTTTTTTGGCAACACTTTAACTTCAACTTTCCACGTGACATGTTTAAGACCACAAGATTAAAAGACATTTTGGTACATTTGACATAACTTTAATTTAGAACCACAAGATTAAAAAATCCTTTCTTTTTTTCTTAAGCTCCGTTTCAAGTCAAACTAGGACATTCTTTTTGAAACAGAGGGATTATCATTCTACGTAACTAAAATATATATAAATTATCAATTAATTTATGTAGAATATGATTTTTTTTTATATAGAATAAAAGATAAAATAAGTAATAACTAAATAACTAAATGCGTAATTACTGATGCATGCAACATTCTAACGAGCAACCTTAAAATATGCCTTCTATAGATAATGTAAATGACATATATAGATTATCCTCACATGACCATAATTAAGTTTTCTTTAATCAATTCATATTCGAAATTTACTTCTCAAACTAATTGTAATTCATATTAAATTAATATTATATGATTCATTAAAGGAGAAACAGTCTTTACTAATAATTAAATTTTCATTTTTAAAGTTTGGACACAACAAGCGTAAGAAAGTAAAGGACCGAT